TTTTGCACCATATTTTTCTTACAAGCTATGGAGAGGGCCATGTAAACTAGCACTTGTTATTATCTTAAAGTCAGAACACGTACACAACATCCAGAACATGTGCAGCATTCATAATTTGACATGGGTGTATCGCTGCACCAGGATCTAAGGGTTTTAACCAAAGCTCTTAAGTTCCCTTCTCCAGAGGCACACCCTGTGATGGAGCCCTCCTGAAGTGTGACGACGGTACAACCAGGCCATCTTCAGGCCGAGTCCCTGGCTCCCATGCACACCACACTGATAACACACCACACCACAGCGACTGAGCGATGCCATTGGCTTGAATCTAGGTCTTTAACTCAGGTGAAATTTTCATCAATGGTGAGATCGCCATCAATGAAATGGTTCTTGGTCTCTGAACAAGAAATTTTATTCAATTTACTTCAATTTCCAATTGATGGTGAATGATATTAAAGACTTTACAGGAAGGGACAGGCTAGAATGAAAGGGACTGGACATCTAGTCTTGTTCAGGACAGAGCAGATTCTTCACTAAGTCCTTTTAGCGTGTTAAGTGAGTTTTCTGACTGTGGGTCCAGTGTAGGGCCATTGTACTTTGAGTGGAAGAAGAGAATGGAAATGGAAGTAGGGACTGAGCTGGTGTGTGGGCGCTGGCAGGCCCGGGCTTTGTCGGTGCCCCCTCTGTTCAGCTCCAGACTTCTGCACCCTGAGGCCTCTCCACCGTGAGAGGTCTTGTCAGTAACTTCAGCTTCATGTCATTTTTCCATGTAGGTAACTCTTCAGCAGCAATGTCTTCACTTGCCAGGAGCAAATGTAAGTTTGCTATTGTTGTTTTAGCCTTCCCAGCAACTCACATGGCTTGGGGTTGGAGTCCACATGGTTCACAGGGAGGAAATGCCCAGGAGGAGGGACACATTCATGGCCCAAACTGTACCAACCACAGCAGCCTTAACGACTCAACATCCTTTCTAGTTTAATCTTTGAAGGTCCATTCCAACCCTCCCCTCTCACAACTGGGAGAGTCCCTGAGACTCTACACCCTCCTATCTGACTAGCATCACGAGTTGGGGTGGGGAGAGACTGAGCCTGTGTTATAGGAAGGCAGAGCCTCCCCTGCAGAGCGGAGGACAGCTCCATCATGAGGAGATAAATGAGAATCCTGTAAGCCTAGGGCCAAGGGCAGAGCAAGGATGTGCGTGGTGGCGAGAGGAGGCCTTGTGATACGGTTAACTTGACTGTATTTATTTGTCTTACACTTAACCAGGTGCAACAATGCAAGCTGAGTTCTATGCAAAGTAGAGTACAGTTGGTCCTAGGACACCTCTGTGGCAGACACAGTCATACTGACAATACTGAACCCCTTCCCTGAGCCCTGTTGTATTGAGAAACAGAATGGGAAGGAAATCCCCCCATTTGTGTTCTAAGGAATGGCTCATCATGAAAAGCCAACCTTCCCTGTGGCTTCCAGAAGACAAGGTATCTATCCTTCCCACTGCCCACCCTCGAAACGGCTCTTAAATACAACAACCTACACACGGTCCCCCCGCCCTCTGTTTTTTCCTTCTTAAATGTAGGTTCCAGAATGAACTTGCCTAACTAAGCTTTAGTGAAGCTGCCTCTGTTTCCCATCTCAGAGCAACACAGAAAAGGGGAGGAATGCCCATGAAAATACTTCCAGAAATCAGCCAGCCGTGGGGAAGCAGACTCCTGAAAACATCTGAGGACACAACCTGCCCTCCCTTTCCTTCCTTCAGGTCTTCAGCCTCCGCCCTCCTCCATGGAAAACCAACTTGCTTTCTCCTGACCTCCAGATAGTCACCAATCCTGTGATGGGAGCTTTCTACTTGTTGTTATAATCCATTGAATAAATAGTGCTTCAGCTAAGTCAGAATTTGTTTCCTTGATTTGAAAGTCTTAATATCACCAAGTTTGGAGCCAAGGGCTTCATAGAAAGTAATCACGAAGTCCCTAGCCTGGAATTCCATCCCTAGTAACACACACACACACACACACACACACACACACACACACACACACACACACCAAAACAAAAACAAATTGCAAAGTATACATGTATGAGTTCCTTAAAAAGCTCTGAAAAAGGAAAACTATTTAAAAAGTATACCTTGTTGGAGTTTGTCTCTTAAATGTACAGAGTAGGAAATGCAAATCTCTTTTCATAAAACCTTCACTTCTGGTTTGCTTATGATAGCTGTTGGCCTACAGCAATGCTAGTCTAAATGGTAATGACTCAGGCACGTACCACCAACATTTAGTTTAATGTCGATATTTCTATCTAAAATCAATATAACTCTAATTCCATCTACCTACTACATGCTGACAGCAATCTACAGAAATGCACAATTCAATTCATAATAATTTTATGATTTATGTTTTAAAAAAACAATTACCATGGCCTATTGGGCGGACTTTTGAGTTCTGGGAGCCCTTGGAGAAAGAACTTGCTTTTGTTCAGGTGATGGATGGGGGTGGTTTTGACTAAGAGGTAGCTGTGCAGATGGAAGGAAATGACTGCTGGAGGTGATCTTGATCTAGGCCTGAGAGGTATTATAAACCTCTGCCAACAGGAAGTAATTAGGAAGCGCTTACTAAGCCTCATGCTGCATTAACCACCCCTGATTTCCCTGGAATTACCTCATTGACCACCTCATCTCTGCGAGGCAGGCCTACCCTTCAGGTAGGGAACTTTCAGCTGAGTCATGTCTCAGACCTAGGCTGAGATCCCCCCATATGTCCCCTAATGAACCAGGGATTCACCCCCAGGGCTGCTGACAGCAGTCCCAGCCCCACCAAGGCTCTTGATGACCTACAGCACCCTGTTTCGGGGCCTACTGAAGGCCTGGTGCAGGAACAGGAGATGTATGGCACAGAGGGGAAGGTGACAGATCGGGCTGCTAGCATCATCGAGAGTATTTGTTTCCTTCTTTGTACCTAAGCTTGTTCAAGGTAGGGCACGAGGCTGGGAATGGATCCAGAAAGAGCCCGGAGTGTCTCCTCAAGATGAAGTCCTACCATGCCCAAAGTACGAGACGGGGTGCTTCATTTCAGGAGCCTCCAGCTTATTGGATCCCCAATTTGGCCGCCACCTTAGACCCACTCTCTGCAGGTGACCCCAGCCTACAGCACTCAGCTTCAGCAGCAAAAGTGCCTGGCTAGTCAAAGCAAAGACCTGGGTTTAAACTCTAGTTCGAGAGAAGGGGAAAAGGGGAGGGGAGGGAAGAGAAGGGAAAAAGGAAGAAGGGAAAAAAAAAGGAAATAAAGAAAATGCTGTATATGCGCACAACGCATTATTAATACATCGTTTGGGGAACAATGGACAGAACTAGAAATCACCATGCTTCGCAGAATAATCCAGCCTAAGAAAGACAAATAGCACCTGTTCTCTTTCATATATATATATATATATATATGTGTGTGTGTGTGTGTGTGTGTGTGTGTGTGTGTGTGTGTGCATATATGTACATATATATGTATGTGTATATATATATGTACATATATATATATATATATATATATATGGAGTCTACACTTAAAAACTAAAGAGTGTAGAAGTATGGGGAGAGGGGAAGTGTTTGGGGAGCCTGTAGTTGAGACAAAAAGCAAAGGAGAGGATGAGGTGAGGCATGAAATCAAAGTACTTCATATGCATGTATGAAAATGGGTGCCCTTCCTTTATATGATCCACCTGAGAGGGTTACAGCTACAACATCATGTCCGAAGTCTCATGGCTGGCACAGGCTTCATCACATCGCACAGCACGGCAGAGCACAGCAGCGCACGAGGACCTCTTTAGACCGTCTGAGGCATGCGTCACACACCAGCAGACGATGAACACTGACTTCCAGGCACTTCCGCTCAGCTTGGCCCTGTAACGTCACCAGTGGAATTTGTTGTTGATCCAACCTGGAACCAACCTTGTGCCTTGGAGCAACTCAAGTGTTCTTGACACGTCACTGGATTTGCTAAAATCTCATCCGACCACCGGCAGGGCCACCCTGAGCATCTGTGGATGAGCTCTCTGCCCTGGCCTCCACCACGTCAGACTCACCATGCCAGAACCTCACGGCAAATGCTTATTTGAACCCTAAAGCCACTTCAACCCCTTATTAGCCGTCTGCATCTTCCTTCTTATTGTGAAGTGCAATGCGTGATGGAGACACAGTATGGGTCATTGAGATGGACATAGAAGCCATTTGCTGACTCACAGCTATAAGCAAAGCCAGTGGTATTTGGCAAATCAATGCCAAGGGGATGGGTGTGTGCTGTGAATTTATGGTTATCCAAGAACTTGTGACATGGTGGACAGACGGAAGGGTGCCCACCTATGTGTCTGACATACCTCACACGCCTGACAGCTGTTTCTGAGCCTTAGTTTCAGGAAGTCTTGGATGCTTTCTGTTTCCCTCTGTGAACCAGCCTGGGCCAGGCCACTGCAGGAAGGAAATGAGTGGTCCAGGCATCTCTACTGACCCGGAGGAGAGTAATCAGCTCCCACGGCAAAAATCTACCTGCTGACCTGACACCAGCAGGCCCCCCTCACCGGTGGACTAAATTCCCTGTCCACAAACCACAAGCCAACTGAGATGATTTCTTTTTAAGTCCCTTTCTTTGGGATGATCGGTTTGGTGGAAACAAATAACTGATGTTGGATCCAAGGGAGCAAGAAGAGACAGAGGCCTCCTTTCTGTGGGAGCAGGTGAGATTGAGGAGGCCTGGGCTGTTGGTGAGGGTGGGAGCTAAAAACTCAAAGTTGTCAGAAACTAGGAAGCGTTCCCAACTAAGTCTTACTTTGAAAATCACTAGAGCTAGAACAGAGGAAGCTAAAGTCCCAAAAGAAGACAAAAGAGAAAGAGAATGGGCCAGCGTGTCCCAAAGAAATAAGGATCGGAACACGTGGTCGCCTGTGAGAAATAAAGTTTTTTGTTTTTTTCTTTTGTTTTTTTTAAAATATGGATTCAAAGCACTCTTGCTGGCCCTCTCTTACTGGGGTTGGGGGTAAGTCTTGGTCCCATGTCTGGGGGGGAATCCCTCAGCTATACAACCTTGACGCAAGAGCATCAGATCTCCAGGGAATTCGGCCAAGGGGAAGAGATTTCGGTTGGTTTGGCCTGTGATGCACCGCTCCTGTTTCTTTTGGAGGAATGGCTGGCAATCATTTCGATGGTATTTCAGTCTCTTTTTGGGTTCTTCTGACTTAAAAGTGACATCCACTTTCATTTCTCGCCTTTTTATGGGTTTGCCTTCGGCCTCCTCGCTCTCGTCCTGCTTGGTGTTATCAGAGGAATCACAGCTGGGGTGATTTCCCTCTTCCCTGGACTTGTCTTTCGCTGGAAGGCCCAGGCCTGCTCCAGATAGAACTGGAGAGTTTCCGAACTTGGCAATGTGCACTGTGTCTTTCTCGTTTTGTTGGGCCCGTGCCAGCTGCATCCTTTCTATGTGCTTGCTGATGTTGGCTTTCTCGCGCACGGGCATTTTAAATTCCTCTGCAGGTATCATCACTTTCGCCGTCCATATTTTCTCTGTAGGCTTACACATAATGCAAGGAGAGGAGAGTTCTCCACATTCTGTCACTTGGTTGAACTCTGGAGATATGGACTGTAGTTGCTTCATCATTTTCCTTTCTTCGTTCGCTTTAGCAGCCAAGAACCTTCTTGCCGCTACCGTGTGAACACCACCTAGACGCTGACAACACACGAGATTGTTAAAATGTCACTGCCCCGAGCTAGGTAGCCACTGCCCGACATGATTGGCTCGTGGCTTGTTCTTCCTCCTTTGCTGAGAGTGTTTGAGTCTCTGCTAGTGGGAAAGAGGGGCAGACCTTGGGGGTCAGACAATCCAGTGTTCAGATCCTGACTTCTCCCTGATGTCCTATGAATTTGAATCTTATTGACCTGACAGATACTGAGAAACCTCAAGACTTTGCATGTGAATATAAAAGTGCAAGGAGAAAACTCAAAAGGAAAAGAAAAAGAAAAAGAAAAAGGTAGTTGTGTCGTTCATTATCGTTTACGCTTTATTCTAACCAGAACCTTTAAGTAAGAAAATATTTTGCTGTGTGAGTGTGGAATCCACATTAGGATTGGCCAGTTTGCATCCACTGGCAAGACTGTGATGTTGGATGGGTTTTGAACCTGGAGCTTCCCCTAGCTTAACCGGTAAACTTTGGAGGGATATCTGTCTGTGTAAACTTACTAGAATCTCTTTTTCCAAGGGGGAGTATTTCCCAAAGGCAATACGTGGATCTGATCTGGAGAAATTAGTCCATATCCTGGAAGGCAGAAAGGCCGATGGGTTAGAATTCTGGAAAGAACCATTCTACATTTCCCTTTGGCAGTGAGAACCTCACAGAGAATAACCCTACATTGGGTAAGGTGCTTCCCACCCACGAATGCGCTGGAAGCCAGATCACACTCACCTCATTGGTGTCACAGGACACAGCTTCTCCTGGCAAGATGCAAGCTCTCCATACGGGGACAAAGAGATGACACTGAAAACTCTGTCTGGCCTTCTATTCTTACTCCACTTCCCCTCTGCGGTGGGCCTTTCTTGGGCCTTCAGGTATGCAGCTCGAAGGGTTTCCATTCCCTGGCAGCCTTTCTCCCACTCTCGGACCATACTCTGGCAATAGGCTGGGGGAGGAGGTGTTAATACCTGTAGTTTGTTCCCAAGAATAGTTTAATGGGACCTCAAGGGGCAGTCATGAGCAGCGCCTGCATCATAACCTGCCTGTCTGGAGGCTATTGTGAGGTCTGCATTTTAGGCCTCCGGGGGTGAAACTGGCACACAGTACCGCACTCTGATAGGTTGGATCCCTAGGAAGAGAGAGAAAGAGTGGGGCTGGGCAGTCATCCGAGGGCTCAGTTCCCACAGGACAAAGGAAAAGAGTTTGCAGTCACCTAAAGTCTGTCTGGTATGTACTTTCCTCTCCAACCTTAGCTTGAGTACTGCTGTATCTGTAGCTTTGGAAACAAGTATCCAGAGACCAACTACAACTGTATCTGGAGCATCTGTCTGTCTGTCCCTCAAGCATCTGTCTGTCCCTTGCCCATATGCTTGCCTCTCAGGGCCCAGCTTCTTTGTGCCTCCTCGGAAGACCTCCTTACGGAATAACTGACTCTCCGTCCATTTCTCATAGCACTTCTGGTATCATGCTGTGCCACATGCCTCCCTCCATACTGAAAACCAGTGCCACCCGCATCTGAGTCCTTCCTGTGCAGTTGCTTAGCATTGGGACTGGGGTCAGGCTCAGCTAGATGCTTCCCGAGTCCCAGCTGCAGAGGCGGGGTGAGAAATGGTGTTAGTTGGAATGGATTTTGTCACAAGCCCTGGGAAAGGTAATTTGGCAATATATATGCAAAATGACCAGTATACTTAGTCTTTAGCCTAATGACAGATACAAAAATCAAAGATGCAAAACTTAGTTAATGTAACCTTGTTTGGACAACGGCAACCATGACAAGTATCTGGTGATGATTGCTGGGGTAGGTGGCTCATACCTGTAATCCTAGCTTCTAGCTAGGAGGCTGAGTTGAAGGATCACAGGTCAAAGTCAGCCTAGGTAGGAAAGTCTGTAAGACTCTTAAAAAAAAAAAAAGACAGAAGAAGAGGTGTGGCTCAATGGTAGAGTGCTATCTTGGAGCAGAAAGTTCAGAGACAGCACCCATAACCCTGAGTTTAATCCTTAGTACCAGCACAAAAACACAACAAACAACAACAACAAATTGTCTAGTAATGGTGGGTTGGACAGAGTTTTGGTGAGCCACAAATGAAATACTACATAAAGTACAGGGCTACGGGAGCAAATTTTTTAAAAAAGGAGGAAACATCTTTATGTAGGAATATCTCCAACAAATATGGCTAAATGGAAAAGGCAAGGTGAAGTACTTTAATTTCATTTTTATTTTTAGGTTTAAAAATTTCATTTAAAGGTGATGTACAGTTATATAAGTCAGGTAATGAATACATTTTCTGGGGTTTTGTTTTGTTTTGTTTTGTTTTTCTGTTGGTTGTGGGGCCTAAACTCTGGGCCTGGGCTCTGTCCCTGAGCTCTTCAGCTCAAGGCTAGCACTCTAACACTTGAGCCACAGTGCCACTTCTGGCTTTTTCTGCTTATGTGGTGCTGAGGAATCGAACCCAGGGCCTAGTGCATGCAAGACAAGCACTGTACCGCTGAGCCACCTTCCCAGCCCCATGAGTACAGTTTCTTTTGAACAGTGTCACCCCTTCCTTGTTCTCACTAGTTTTTCTCCTCAGTATTTTAATTTTAACTAAGTTTACAGCTACGATTATTGACTATGATTATGTTTCTGTATTTGGAGAACAAAAAGTGTGTACATCTCAGTTGCAGAGACTTTTGTAACCTGAGGAAGATATTGGCAGAGAAGGAAGTAGAAGAAAGGAGATTTTTCATTGCATATATTATTATATGGTCTTGAATTTAAAACCACCTGAATGTATTAAATATTTGGAAAAAATAAACTCATAAACAAGCAGCTCATGGCAAAAGTCTGCACATAGTCCCTGACATGCACTGATCCTGCAACTTCTTTGATTTTGTCAGAAACTCACAGGGGAAATGTTTAGAATTTGTCCGGGACTCGGGCCTTTGCAACTATCTGAAATCCAGAAGCAATCCTCCCTCCCATCCTGACAAAAGTAGTTTCCTCACCAGCTGTGAGCTGGAGTTCAGCAGGAGGCCCCTGAGCAATGAAGAAAATTACTGCCATATTGCATTCATTGGATTTTCCACTTGTTGCATTTCTGTTCTGATTTGGAGAATCACACATGGTGGGTATGCATGTAGGGGTGGAATTGCTGGGGAAGGAAGTCTACGCAGTATGAATTCACTAGAAAATTCTCATCTGTGTTCCAAAGTGTCTCCACCAATCTGCAGTTCCACAAGTGGATTTAAATTTTGTTTTTAATTTATTTTTAATTTAAAGTTTTTCTGATTACAGTGAGGGGAATACCTAGTGGCTATTGAGATTATCCTGTCTATTTAAGTCCTTCCTTTGCACATTTTTTCCTAATAAAATTTTACTTTCCTATTGATATGTAGAAGAACTTCTCTATGTATTTTGTTGGTTATATACTTTGTAACTATTTGTTCATACACTATGACATGCCTGGCTATCTCCTCAAAGGTGTCTCTTGGTGAATGGAAGATGTCAGTTCATGTCAGCTGTACTGTAACTCATAATATTAACTCATACTTATGAGTTAATAATTTGATATCTTGTTCAAGAAATGGCCTCCTTCCCTAAGCAGGAATGATGCTCTCTCATATTTATACATGCAAAATTAACTTAATGGTAATTATTAATAATATATTATTGTAATTATTTGCTTTTTCTTAAGTATATTTTCAACTAACTTTTTGTAGCTGTTAAAAAAAACTGTGGGAAAGTATTTATATGCTAACAAGACAGGGAAAAAATCGAGGACTCTTCCTGTAGCCATCCCCTGCTCTGTGTCTGCTCTCTGGCTCCCTCTGGTGGATCTTGCAGCCCATTACATGTTGACTCCCAAGGCCCTCCTGCCATCTTCAAAGCTAAATCTATGTGATAGGCCCTTGATATATGGCTCCTTCTTAATATTGCATAATAAGCAAGCCTTAAGTGAGTAGCTGCGCACGGTCCTTACCATAATTCAGACCTGAAATGCTCTCCCCTCCCCCCGTTGGCTCATGCATTGAAGGCACAGTGTGTAATGCAATAGGGCTCAGAAATGAAACTTTTGCAGAACTTTTGAGTAGTTGAGTCGCTTGTATATAGATTAATTATTGATTGTAATTAGTCAGAGGTGGGATTTTGTGGGAGTAATCGAGTCTAACGGACTACTCAGTTGATGGATTCATGACTTGCTGGGCTATTGAGAACAAATGGAAACTTAGAAGGTGGGACATAGATGAAGCCAACAAGTCCTCAAGTCTCAGGTGGATTCCACCTGAAGCTATGCTGTCCTTGCCTCCTGCTCACTCTCTTAGCAACGATGAGGTGAGTTTTTATTCTGCCATGTCCTTCTTTCATGATGTTCTGCCTCACAGAACAATAGAGAAACCCATCATGGACCTCTGAAACAATGAACCAAAAGTCATTCTTTGTCCCTTCAAGGTATTTCTCTTAGGTATCTTTTCTTGTAACAGAAAGTTAACTAGCACAATCTCCTCTACAGAATCTTATGTCTGGCTCTTGGGATCTGAAATTCTGTACCTCTGACAGGTTTCCAGCAGAGGCAATGGTTTGCTTGCTTTGGGTAAAACAAAACTGTGACTGATGTAGAACTACATTGTAAGAGGTGCTTAGTCCTGGGCAAATGGCATCACCACTCAAAGATAAGCAGATTCTCTGGACTTTCCAGGAACTACTTGTAAGGTCTGCCCTGGGCCATACAGGCCCTGGCCTTCCTACCTCTTGGCTAAGTCTCTACCCAGTACCTGTGTCACCTAGGTAACTGGCACACTTGGAAGCAGTCACCTTCCCCGCCAAGATTACATCCTGGGCTCTCCCAAGTCCCGCCTCCCATTGGGCCAAGGGAGGGTCCCAGGCCCTGAGGTCACATCTGCACCTGCCGTGGCCACACCTTCCCTCACCTGGCCACACATGCTCCCTGCCCCTGCCCTACTTAAACCCAGGTGGAACATGGGCCTCTCCACCATGCACAGTGGGGGGGGGGGCTGAATACCTTCCTCCCTGAATACCTCGTGGTGTTCTTTTACCAGCTACCTAATTTAATTTATCTAACACTAATGAGTCGCAATCCAGATTCAGCACACTACCATATTCCAACGGGCTGGAGCCTAAGAAAGAGAGTAGACAGTGTTAGAAGTCTGAACGCTCAGTTCTTATAGGACAAAGAAAAAGTTTTCAGTCACCCAAAGTCTCTCTTTTTGGTGTATACTTGTCTCTTCAGCCTGAGCAGTTGATGCTAGATCGGTGGTGCTCTCTCATTAACTCTGGGAACAAATGTGTGTGCTATTTTTGGAGGTTATTGTGAAGCAACAGATGTTCATGTCTTGTTTTGTAAACCAGCTCACCAAATCATGTCATTTGTTTGGAGAATTGAGACCAAATGCTTGTTCTGACTAGACAGTGACTCAGGGCACTGAGTCATAACACTGGTCATGCAGTAGGGGTAGGGGTCTTGTGAAGTTATTTACACTCATCTGGTTCCAGGTATGAGGATCTTTAATCAGTCTGCTTAACAGAATGACTTTTCAAGGAGCATGCATTTGTCTCCTTGTGCTGTGTTGGCCTGTGCAAACAAGATCAGGGTTGAAACCAGTTTAATCCAATAGTTGGTTGCCCTGTTGGAATTTTTGTCCCAGAAAGTGGGGCACAGACACTAGTTAGAAGTTGTCCAATGGATAGCAGGAAAAGATTGCCATCTTCTGTTTACACAATAGTCTGTGTGGGTGGCTCTTACTAAAGCAGAACAAAGCAGAACAGAAAAAATAATAATAAAGAGAAAATGAATTCTGGGGTGAAGCTGATCAGTTCTGTCTCCCTGTGAGCTAAGTTTTCTCTTTGTTTCTTTTAGAGATTTATTATCCAATACTTTACTATTTGTCCATTTTCCCATACATGCTGCTAGCTTACTAATCTTTCCACATCCTT